CAATAAATGTAGGTTTACAATACATAACTTTACACGATTTGTGTTGTATATAACAGGTTTGAACATATTATCTCAGAATTCATCTGCATGGCATTTTCAGCTTGTTTAGGGTCCATGCCAGTTTTTTTAAGTAATAGGGGGAGTGCTGTGATTGATAGCAACAGCTCAAGGCGTGATTTTGAATAGAAACAAAGGGTTTAGAACAGAAGGTGTCAAATTAAACTTTGTCAGTTTGAAAAGTAGGAACATCCTGAAAGTTTGACTAATTTATTTACATGTGGCTACTGTTTATATTTTGCCCTCTTTATATGCAGTGTAATGTTGCTTGGCAAATTTACTACATTTAAAGTTTAGGTTGTTCCTTGTGCCATTTTATTTTTCTGAGAATAGATCGGTCTCATTATTTTAAGGCTGTTAGTCTCCTGTCTTTTCTACTGTTCAGAACAGTTGTGATCTAATTTAATTGTCACAGCAGTTCCCTACCCCTCTTACATTATTTCAAGTCCCGGAGACCTGGCTTAAAATGTAATTATGTTCACATTTTGAAGCAAAAGTGCTTGCATTTTATTCACCATCTCTCCTCCACCCAGTAAATCTATACACGTATCATTTTAAAAGAACCAATATAGTACTTAGGGAAATCATTATTTTTATTTGCCACATGTTACCTATATTCTGACATATATTGTCTTCCCAAGTGTATTTGCTCAACAGTATCGTTTATGGAAAAGTGACCTCGGGACAGGTATTGGGGAATTAGAAAACCTTTGGTGCTTCTCGTCACTTCCTGCAAAACATAGACCAGATTACTGTCATCATCTTGATCGATAGGATTTGAGGGAGTCAGAATATTCCAAGGTATTTAAATGGAATCATAGTAAATTAATCTTCTTTTTGCCAGTGTAAATTGGGAATGAGCCAGCTGATTTCTCTGCTGACAAAGAACTAGCCTGTCAGAATGTCTGTTTTCCATTATTTGTTGAGAGCGACACATATCAAGAGAAAAGCACGCTGCCCCTCCCCCATCTTTGTTTTTTGGAATACCCTTGTAGAACTGACAGTTCCCAGCTGCACCGTTAAATATTTTTCTAAGAAGCATCTGATTTCAGTCTCTTAAAATCATCGTGTCTCTTGAAAGGCTAGCGGAGACATGCTTCAGATTTACAATTCATCACATTATTTTTAGATAAGGAATTAGAAGTATTATTTAAGGGCAAAGGTTAATAGCAAACTACTGGAAATGTTATGTTAGTCATGGGCAATTAATAAAAATAAGAATCTGTCTTATAAGTATAGAGACACAGAAGTGACAATATGAGCAAAATATTTGTTGAATAAGTCAAGACTCTTTTTCTGAAATATTTGTGAAACCAGCATGAGTGTGATTGTTTGGGAATTAGCTATCATTATTAGCCATTTTAAAAGAACTAATGATTTTCCTTTCCAAAGAACATCTGTGATCCACATGTTTTTCCCCCCCACATATATCCAAGTGCTAACTGATATCTGCATTACTTTAAAAAGTTTCTAAAAGGATTAAAAAAATTATTGGAGTGCTTCAGCTTTCTTCAAGAAGATTTTCTTACATGAATTGTTCTTCATTTAACTTTTAGCAATTTTTGGTTACAAGCATTTATTTCTTAAAAAAAAGACTTATATGCTCAGTGTTTAGCACTTATTACAAGAGTATAATCCTAGCTAAGTAAAGAAAAAAAGAACATATTCTTGATGAACCTTCTAGCATCTCTTGAAAGGTAAATAAAATTGTAGTGGTTTTCTGTATATAGGCATGGGGGCCTGTCAGTTGCCACAGCTAAAGAAGAGACGAGGAGGAGGCAGGGGTGTAATCTAAACCAGAGTTAATAGTCAAGCCTTCCTTCAGGAAGACGGATCTAAAACTTGCCTTGCATCAAAATATAGAAGTGAAGAATAAAGCAATAACTTTTGATGTAGGAAAGTATAAAATATTTCCATGGCTCAATCCAGACAGCAAATATTTGTCAGCAGGAGCTAAACAAACATTTCCAGGGCACCCTATGCAAGTGGGTCTCAAATATTTCAAATACTCAAATTGTAGTTAATGTTGCATTCATAGATAAGAGCAAAAATGTGACCTATGGTCTGATTGTGGAAAGAAGCCTACAGCTGCCATGGTTAGAAGAGAAGCATGTTCGGTGGCGCCGTCGTCATGGTTATTTTTGATTGAGCTAATATTCTTTCTGGTAAACCTTCAGTTTACCGCCTGTTCTGTTAACCTGGGATCATGCACACGGCAGCATCAAGTGAGTGCACAGTTGCATGACTGTCCCTAGGCACGCACATGTCTAAGTGGTGTGTGGCGTGGAGAATCAAGAGGCCTCGGCTTCAGTCAGGGTCAGTAGGGCTCATGGGGTTTCGCAGCTGTCACCCTTGGCTGGGTGGTCGGTGGGTCTCGGGAAGCTAGTGTATGAGTCTCCAGCTATTCTTTAAAAATCTCTCAGGCCATTTGGGGGCTTCTTCCGCTGTGTATTACAGTTAGAAGAGAATTTCTCCTGTGGTTCACGTTGGAAAAGAAAGGAAAAGTCATGCCATGTTCTGATCTCACCCTAAAGTCATATAAAAGGCAACTCCCGTTCGCCAATTCTAAAAATCAGATACTAACCTGTCCTCTTTGCATTCCCATCCAACTAGTTTCTAAGGAACCCCGTTGTTTTAGGTCAGTTTCCCTAAAGCAGAGGCTAAGGTAAGGAATCCGAGGCCCCTGATCTGGTGAGGGACCCGGCAGGGAGGATAAGACAGCGGAGGCGAGTCCAGGAAGAACGTGGCCTCAGGAAAAGCCTGCATTCGCAGCCCGGCGGCGAGCAGGCGGGAGGGGCACGTCTGGAGAGCTGAGGGTGGAGGGCGCTCGGCCGCCGAGCGGGGAGAGGGACCCTGAGGAGGTGGAGGAGCAGCCGGCGTCCCCAGTGAGCTGGCCTGCAGACGCTTCTCTGGAGCGCGTTCTGAGCTGAGAGCTGGAGCAGGTGTAGGCCGGCCCTCCCCTCCGCCTCCCCGCCCTGCTGCTCAGTACCCACGTGGCGGCCCAGACAAGGTTTGAGATGGTGGTTAAAGAACGGGAGACAGTGCACGCTCATTGGAACACTTTTTTTCTTTTAGTTTTTATGGGAGCATAGTTGCTTTACGATGGTGTGTGAGTTCCTACTGTACAGAAAGTGAATCAGCTCTATGCGTACATATATCCCCCCAACCCCTTTTCTTTGGATTTCCTTCCCATTTAGGTCCCACCACAGAGCATCAAGTAGAGTTTCTGGCGTACACAGTAGGTGCTCATTAGTCAGCCTACTTTATACACAGTATTCAGTTCAGTTCAGTTGCTCAGTCATGTCCGACTCTTTGCGACCCCATGGACTGCAGCACGCCAGGCCTCCCTGTCCATCACCAACTCCTGGAGTCCACCCAAACCCATGTCCATCGAGTCGGTGATGCCATCCAACCATCCCATCCTCTGTCATCCCCTTCTCCTGCCCTCAGTCTTGCCCAGCATCAGGGTCTTTTCCAACGAGTCAGCTCTTCACATCAGGTGGCCAAAGTATTGGAGTTTCAGCTTCAGCATCAGTCCTTCCAATGAACACCCAGGACTGATCTCCTTTAGGATGGACTGGTTAGATCTCCTTGCAGTCCAAGGGACTCTCAAGAGTCTTCTCCAACACCACAGTTCAAAAGCATCAATTCTTTGGAGCTCAGCTTTCTTTATAGTCCCAACTCTCACATCCATACACGACCACTGGAAAAACCATAGCCTTGACCAGACAGACCTTTGTTGGCAAAGTAATGTCTCTGCTTTTTAATATGCTGTTTAGGTTGGTCATAACTTTCCTTCCAAGGAATAAATGTCTTTTTATTTCATGGCTGCAATCACCATCTGCAGTGATTTTGGAGCCCAGAAAAATAAAGTCAGCCACTGTTTCCACTGTTTCCCCATCTATTTGCCATGAAGTGATGGGACTGGATGCCATGATCTTAGTTTTCTGAATGTTGAGCTTTAAGCCAACTTTTTCAGTCTCCTCTTTCACTTTCATCAAGAGGCTCTTTATTTCTTCACTTTCTGCCATAAGGGTGGTGCCATCTGCATATCTGAGGTTATTGATATTTCTCCCAGCAATCTTGATTCCAGCTTGTGCTTTATCCAGCCCAGCGCCTATTACTTGTGTGTGGATATCAATCCCACTGTCCCACGTTCGACCACTCAGTTCATGATTGAGGATCTCAGGATCAGAAACTGGGCCTTGGAGTGCAGCAGAGACATTGTGGTTTCGGCACTCAGTGGCCATCGTCTCCCTCAGCCCCAGGGATTCTACGAAACTGCTTACCTGATGGACCATGTGTGTGCACAGCTGCAGGCAGGACTCTCAGGTGTCTTTCTGGAAAGTTCTGTATTGGAGAATTCTTCTAATACTCATTCTAACATAAAGCCTTACCTTGGATGACATTCTTGCTCACATAACTGCACACATCCTTTCTCTCCCTTTTCTACACATACACACATACATTGACACACACACAAATATTCACAGAATTGCCTTTTTAATGCAAAAATTATAAACTTAGGGAATCCTTTGGGGAAAATTATTCTAAAAAGCTATCCCAGCCCTTTGTAAATATTATCTTCAGAATCTCATATGGCCATTCATAGGACCAGAAGCACACTCAGCCTTGCTCCTTAGGCACATTCTGCAGAGTCTAGGGTAAATGGGTCTTGCCTTTGGAGTCTGAAAAATAGGGCCCTCCTTTAAGATGCAAATCTGAATTGTGTATTAAAAAAACAAAACCTGCCTCCTCTTCGATAACCACACCTATTCTCTTTTAACAGGTTAAAAAATTTTTAAAGCATATTGGGAGTGTTTTGAGCTGAGAAAAAGTTAACTGCACAGGGTCCTTCCTTTTTACTTCCTAATGGGAACCGGCAGCTCCCCACCCGCCCCCTCTTGGACCTCAACTGACCTGCTAACACCCTTGTCTCTAAGGGGTGGCTGTGTGAGCTGTTACGCTGGAAAGAAGACCCTTCTCCAGAAAACAGGACCCTGTGGGAGAACCTCTCCATGATCCGAAGGTTCCTCAGCCTCCCCCAGCCGGAACGCGATGCCATCTACGAACAGGAGAGCAACGCGGTGCATCACCACGGCGACCGGCCGCCGCACATCATCCACGTGCCCGCCGAGCAGATTCAGGTTCGTGCACCTCGGCCGCTGCAGTAGAGCAGGTGGTAAACAGACGCTTAAACGTGGCAGGGAAAGGGGCGTTTCTCTTCTTCCCGCCAGTCTGAACATAGGCTTCTGAGCAAGAGATGATGATACCCTGCCAGGACCTAGGTTTTCCAACACGTGTGCTGTGTTCCTCTATGCTTCCCCCCCGCTCCCCGGCAGGAACCCCCTTCCACTGTTCTTTGGCAAGCCAGTCTTCATTAGAACTATGTGAGACCTTACTCTGTTTTGTCATGTTGAAAGTGACAGTCGATCAGTCGTGTCCAACTCTTTACGACCCCATAGACTATACAGTCCATGGAATTCTCCAGGCCGGAATACTGGAGTGGGGAGCCTGTCCCTTCTCCAGGGGATCTTCCCAACCCAGGGATCGAACCCAGGTCTCCTACAATGCAGGCGGATTCTTTACCAGCTGAGCCACCAGGAGAGCCCAAGAATCCTGGAGTGGGTAGACCTTCCCTCGGAGAAGGCAATGGCTCCCGCTCCAGTCCTCTTGCCTGGAGAATCCCATGGACCGAGGAGCCTGGTGGGCTACAATCCATGCGGTCCCTAAGAGTCAGACACGACCGAGTGACTTCACTTTCACTTTTCCCTTTCATGCATTGGAGAAGGAAATGGCAACCCACTCCAGTGTGCTTGCCTGGAGAATCCCAGGAACGGGGGAGCCTGGCCGGGCTGCCGTCTATGGGGTCGCACAGAGTCAGACACGACTGAAGTGACTTAGCAGCAGCAGCAGCAGCCTTTCCCTTCTCCAGGGGATCTTCCCAACCCAGGGATCAAGCCCAGGTCTCCCGCATTGCAGGCGGATTCTTTATCAGCTGGGCCACCAGGGAAGCCCAAGAATCCTGGAGTGGGTGGCCTGTCCCTCCTCCAGGGGATCTTCCTGACCCAGGAATCGAACCCAGGTCTCCCGCATTGCAGCAAAATTTGAATTTTCAGACACACCACCTATTTTTTAATGAACACCGATCCTGTCCCCGAGGAAAAGCGTGAGTGCTGTCTCTGCAGAGGAAGTTTGTAGGATCACAATTGTATACGCTGGATTCTGTCCCAGAGAGAGGAGGGGACGGAAACCAAATTGGCATCTGGCTTCCGGCTCCCCAACCCTGGCTTCACTTTAGGTCTGTCTGTCGCCACAGGCTCAGTGAGCACCGGTTAGGGGTGAGTCACGTCTGTCTGTCTTTCCGTTAGAGCCCCTCTCCCACCACCCTTAGGCAAGGAGAGTCTAGAGGCATTGGGCCCCGAGGCTGGCACTGCTCCACAGGTGAGCAGGCACAGGTTAGCCAGCCAGAGGGGGACACACAGAAGGCTGGTGCTGAGACCTGCTCCCTGGTCAGGATGCTCAGCCTTGGAAAGGCCACGCTAACAGTGGTGTTGGCCAAATACACTGCGCCCGCAGGGTCAGCCTCAGACTCCCCTAAATTACTCCCTTCCAAACCCTGGGACCTGTCTCCATTCATCCACTGAGTGGATCCACTGAATTCATCCCCAGTTCATTTAGATGGGGACGGCTAGTTGTTGACCTCAATGACTTAGGAAACCTGTTGGAATTGAATGTGAGCTGTACTAATTATTTCTGTTACAAAGGGATGCTTTTAGTTTTCCCCTTTAAGGGAAAATGCCATTGCTTTCCTGAGTCTTAAAATTCTACACTCTTTGTTGAATCACCTGCGTTATTTCTTGGTACTGCTGTGTGTGTCTGTGGGGGCACGGAGGTGGGGGGAGTGGTGATACACACACACACACACACAACAAAAATAAGGTTATCCATCCACTAAGAAAAAGAATCCTTGAGTATATGTTAAAGATAAATTAAGAAGGAGAATCCCTTAGGATATCAAGCACTAAAATAATCATGAAAGCCTGAAAAATGTACTGTTTAGCAAAAACAAAAAAAGATAAGTAAAAAAAAAAGTACTTGTTTGAAAATGTAAATTGTTTTTAATAAAATTGCTTCTTAGGGGGATTAAGGGAATGCTTAGGGCACAATATAAACGTTCTAATATTTTAGGCTTCCTTAGGTTGATTTCCTTTGTTGATAAGAATCCTGGAGCTGGAGTGTGTGTGTGTATATGTGTGTGTGTGTGTGTGTCACATATTTGTTATGTATAATTGTGTATGGAAAATTACAGCACATATACAAATTATGAAAAAGTGTCTATATACACTAAATTTAAATCCTGATTACATCTGAGCTTAGTATAGACAGAACAATTTGCTAGCCGTTGTGGAGTGAATGAAACCTTTATTTTTCAGTAAGAAAAAATCTTGCAGTGTCAGCCCAGTGCAATTCAGTAAGAAATGTGTGTCTGTTAGAATGAAACTGTCTGGTAGGAAATTCACAAACGTGAGAATCTCAAACACTCTGGTTTCACAGGAGCTAATGGCTTTCCTCCTAGCTCAGCTGGTCAAGAATCCATCCTACAATGCAGGAGACCTGGGTTCGATCCCTCCGTAGGGACGATCCCCTGGAGAAGGGAAAGGCTGCCCACTCCAGTATTCTAGCCTGGAGAATTCCACGGACTGTATAGTCCATGGGGTCGCAAAGAGTCGGACATGGCTGAGCGGCTTTCACTTTGAATGCTGTAGAAAAGCAGAGGCTTCCCCGTTTTACTGGGAATGTAAGACCTTGTAAGCCAGGGCCACGTTTCAGTCATCTGCTGCAGTGGGACGAAATACATTTCCTTCCCAGTGTGTCCGCAGCTCACCTTCCTAAACTGCCTTCGGCACACTTCACTTCTCCGTCTTCATTTAAAATCTTTATTAATTACTGACGTCACAATGTGCTGTCTTCACGTCGGAGGCATATCCTCCTGGTGGACGTGGCTCACCCTTTCAGAGTGCTGAGTTTCAGCCGTGTAAGTAAGCCAGCCTGACCTCTGACGACGAAGCGCAGCAGCCACCCTGACCCTCCCCGGTCCTCCCTTCCTAGCGATCGTTCTGACCTAGCCGGTGCCGTGGGCCGTTCAGCTGGCCTGCGTTTGTGTCCGGCACCCGTCCCCACCTTCCGATCCCGGCAGGTCATGTGCTCGCTCCTTCCAGGCCCCCGTGTGCCGTGCGCGAAGCCGCACGCGCAGTGCCTAGCTGTTGCGCAGGAGCCGGGCGTGCGCAATGACCAGGCGTTGCGCAGGGGCCAGGCACGTGCAGTGGCCAGGCGCGCGGGGCCGGGCACGTGCGGCGCCGCTGATTCTGTGCCGCTGTTTCCCCGCAGCCGCCGCAGGCGCCCCCGCAGCCGCAGCCCGCACCGCCCCCCGCGCCGGCACAGGCGCCGCCGCCCCCAACCGGGCCCCGGCTTCCCGCGCGGCAGCCGCCCGCGGCGGCGCCGGCCGAGGCGGAGGATGAGAGCCGGCCGAAGGCGCGGCCGCGGACCAAGATCTCAGTGGAGGCGCTGGGCATCCTGCAGAGCTTCATGCAGGACGTGGGGCTGCACCCGGACGAGGAGGCCATCCAGACGCTGTCGGCGCAGCTGGACCTGCCGCAGCACACCGTCATCAAGTTCTTCCAGAACCAGCGCTACCACCTCAAGCACCACGGCCGTCTGAAGGACCACGCGGGCCTGGAGGTGGACGTGGCCGACTACAAGGACGACGAGCTGCTGCAGGAGCCAGACGAGGGTGCGCCGGGCGCGGGCGCCAGCCCGCTCTTCGCGGTGAAGCTCGAGGACGAGCCGGCGGCCGACGGCAGCACGGACGCGAGCGCCGACGCCAGGGACTGAGCTGCGGGCCCCCGTCAGCGCCCCCTCGGCCGGGGCCCGCCCCGCGCGAGCCTCGCGCTCCGCCGCGCCGTTCAGCCGGGGGGTCGTCGGAACCTTGCACAGACGGGAACGTCGAGAAAGGCTGATACTGACCGCACTAAACGTTGTCCTCTCTCTTTCACGAACTGCTTGGCAGCCCCAGGTGAAGCATCGGATTGTTTGGTATTGAAAATGGAAAATTTGTGTTCACGGAACACACCCGGGTGTGTGTACCCGTAAGCATGATAACCAGTGGTTTTTTTTTTTTTTAATTTTATAATTATTATTCTGGAGCCTCAAAACAAGCATTATAACTTCTGTGATTATCATTTCCTTCCTTTATTTCTGTAACACTTCACACTTATCTTTGGAAACTCGCCCCTTGTTTTAAAAAAGAAAAAGAGTTTGTTACTCTATTGTATGTTGCAAAAGAACTATAGACTGTGGAATGCAGTTTAAAGATGACATATGCCAACAAATGCCTTGTATTATATGGCACTGCCGTAATTCAAATTTGTCTTTATTTTGGAAATAAAAGTTCACTGTAATTTTTTTCATTCTCATTGTTACAAGATTTTTTAAAAAATGAAAAGAAAATGTGAAACACAATTTAGTCCTCATTATTTATTTGTAGATCCTGCAGCATCATGTTGTAATTAATTTTTGGAAGTTTCCGTTAAATGTAATATTGCTTCTCTTGTTACCATACTGGTTCTTTTCTATTTATAAATGTATTTTGATGGGCAGTAAAACAAAGTGTCTTAAAAGTTTTAAATAGATAAAATGTGCTTTACACAGTTGCCTATAAAAAGTGCTCTATGTTATCCAAGCAATTCATACTATAAGCTTCACTCTTATTGTTGTATGCAATTTTTACTATCATGCAAATAAGCTTAGGTTAATAAAACTAATAGATCACCTTAGAAAATTATGCAATTAATGTGAAAATAATTGATGTTTGCAACGTGTCTTCCTTTGGTTTACAATCAATTTTAAAGCTACATCTGTATAAAATTTCTGTATAAAGGTGTTATTTCTTTTTTATGAGTTTATGGCTATGAAAACACCAGCTATTTTGTTACAGCTGGCTGTTTTTATAAGTGTATCACAATTTTCTTTATGCAGAAATGTTCTGATTAGGAGTGGTTATTGACTGTAACTACACAATTAAAATTGTTTGTATGGTATGACATGGTAGGGTTTGTCTGCTTATGTGAAGTAACACAGAGTCCAAGACTGGCCCTCTCAGTAAGATGCATGTTAAAACTTTCTTGACCTTTTACAGATCTGAAAAAGAGCAATTTTAAAAGTCACTTGAAACACTGTAAATTTAAATCCCGAACACATGCTCATTTTTTAAGTCAAACAGTGAAGACGATAATCTGTTTTTGGTTGACGTTTTACTTGATTAGGAGGATGGTCAAAAGACCCACCAAGAAAGACATCAATTCAGGCTCTAGCAGATATGCACTTAGAATAGATTCATCTGCACTTACTTCACAATATGCCTGCCATGGCAACACTTTTTTAAAGCTGGTGTATATACATTTTTAAAGGCCATTAAAAGTAACATAAGTAGGGGAAAATGGACCTTCTGTCCAGAAACTCCTTAGTAAGCACTGTATATTTTTTGAGTTGTAAATGAAATACAAGTTAATAACTCTGAGCTCATTTGGTTGTGTATGTCATAACTACAAGAACTCCATGAAGAAGATAAGAATAACAAATCTGGAATTTAAACATGCACTTCAAACTTCTTGCAGCGTGAAGCTCAGTAAACTCCAGGATACGAAGTGAGGTGTGCTTAATGTTCATGTAAACGACAGGGCCAGTGTTTCAGTTTTTGGTTATTTTTGTTCACATTCACTATATTTTCCTGCTGCTTTTTTAAGATTTTCTACTTGTTAGGGGGTGTTTGGGTTCCTTTGGTTCTGAAATCACCCACTCTCTTCCTGCCTCTTTTCCCTGGACCCTGATGTGCTCATCGGAGGGCAACTGGACGCCTCTGATCCCAAACTTAAGAAACTAAAATGGGATCATAGAAAACTCCCAATTCAATTTTCAAAGTTACTGTCTACTTTTGAATCACAGTTGAACTACTTCAGAGGCAGCTGGTTTGCTGTAAACTTAAAATTATGTCGAAAAAGTTATCACATCTTTGTATTAAATGAGAAAACACCTTTAAACATTCTAGCTTATTACTAGGGTTCAGAAAATCATTTTAGCAAAATAATTTGAGTTCAAATGAAACAAGATTTCATATATTTAAAAAAATAGGGTAAATAAATATGCTATGAAATTTAAAGGAAAACAACCTACCTTCTCTGACTTTAAAGGGAAAAGTTAGAACAGAGAGTAGGGTTTTTTTGGTTTTTTGTTTTTTTGTTTTTTTTTATCATGAGCACAACACCTAGTATAAGGAGTCAAAGATGTAATACCTTTTTAAGGGGAATTTGGGTTGCAAATAAGATTTTTTTCTTTCCCGCTAACCTCTTAACTTCTTTGAAAATACATTTTCAGTAAATTGAAGAGTGTGTATAAGAAATCAACATGACAATAAAATTCTCAGACTCTTTTTAACTCATGCAGTATCATCTTGCTAATATATTTTAAACCAAAAAAAAAAGCACATATCAATAAACAACGTTGGTCATGATGGAGTGAGCAAAATTGTTCTTCGGGAAGATGGTACATTTTGCAAGAGGTTTGAAGAAACTTCCAGGTTGCTTCCCGGGTGTCATTTATCCCTCCCACCAGTCCCAGTGTTGCCAGAGGCTGTGGTGGAATTCCTTGCACAAGCTTCCTTGTGTCCAAGTATTTCAGAAGCTTTTAAAAGCTGGGCATGGCTTGGCACTCTGTGCTGGTAAGGCCTTAGCAGAGTCAGATGGTTTACGGGTAATATTCAACCTTGTGCATCTGAGTCTGTCGTGGATCCCTTCCCTCAGCACTTTGCCACTAATTTGTATTACACTCTGTGGCCATATCATACTTGCACATTATGCAAAAAATAATGTTGATAGTATCTCCTTGGCATATAATATGCAGAGTTGACACATAACCCTTGAAAACCAAGGTAACTAACGTGTGTGCCCTAGTTGTGTGACCCTTGGTTACAAAGCCTGTACATATTATATATAAAATGCATATCAATTAACATTTAGTCCTAAGGAATTCTGAGCTAAAAGAAGAAAAGTGTTTATTTCTTCATTAGTGAAATCTATATCTAACTGTGCTTATCTAAAATATGTAGCTTAAGTAGAAAGCATTTTCAAATGGTTCAAGATGAAAATGACAATCTCATACATTTCATTATTCAGTTCTGCCCTATTCCATATTGTTATCTTTGGCTGATATAAGGTCCTTGATTTTCACGATATTGTCAATAAATAAGGTATTCTGAACTGCTTGGTGATATTTTCAAAAAGAGCAATTAACATGCGTATGCCCTGTCATATAACCAACAGAAATTGGAGTGCTGTGTTAAAGCAAGCCAGAAATTTGCATGACAATGTGGAAGCCAATGGAGGTTCAAGAATATTAATACTATCTAAAACATTAGGAGATAAAGATACTATGGTTCACCATAAAGATAATTTTTTTTCTTTTACTTTTTAAGGGAATGTATTCACTATTCTTCTGAGGCTATCCATTTAGTGTAAATACTAAATACTTGCATGTCTTTGAACAAAGGCTAAACTACAGTCTGGTACCATGCACATTTTGATCAAATACAAAGAAGCCTTATTTAAGAAATGTATATGACCAGAATACTATTACCTGTTTAACAATTCCACATGTCAAATAAAAATAGTTTGGAATTCATGTTTAAAAGATGAACATTTTTAAGCCTTCCTTGCGTTACCCTCCTTAGGGTATCGTATTAGGATTAGGATCATACATATTTCCAAATTAACTTATCAAAATAATTCTACAAAAATTCCATTTTATCAAAATAATTCTACAAGAATTCCATTTTGATTCCTTGCTCTATATCAAGGTTGTGCGTTAAGTCACCTTCCTGTGTCAGCTATTTCAACTAATATCCCTGTTGTGATCAAAAGCTGGTGGCTGGGGCCCTGTTCTCTCTGATACTAGCTGATGAGGTGGTTGGTGAGGAAAGACAGAGCAGCCCATTATTTTTGTTGCCTTGAGAAGTAACGGCAGAGAAACTCTAAAGTAACGTATTTTGCACTGAGTTAAATGTTGCATATTATTTCTTTATTCTTCGTTGCATTTTCTTTTACTGTTATTGAATATTTGTTTTTTATGGTGTTCAAATAAGTTTTCACGACAGTGACAATCTCTGATTCATCCTTACACCCCTCCCCCTCCACAAAAAGGGTGTCCCAGGGGCTGCTCTATGGAAGAACCAACAGCTCCTGTTAAGTGAGAATGCTGAGAAAGTTCAGATATGTTAAGTGTGTGCGATAATTCACTGAGCCAGTGGCAGTGGGTGGCAATATGCATGTTTGTCTAGCTCACAAATCTGCCCCACAGCATCTTCACAAGGGGACAGGTGCTCCACCTTTGTTTCCAATTTTAATTTTCAAATATTTGTTCTAGCAGGTCTCATACAAAGACTTCCTACCTTGTAAGGCTCCTTCCTAGCTTTGCCCTCAAATATGCTTAAAATGATAATAGCAACATTATTAGTGGAAAGCTTCATTTTCCCCCGCACGGCCACAAGCATCTCTGTCCCACTATGCATACTTAAGGCAGACACGAGGGAGAGGCGGCTCCACAGTGGTTTCAAACCCAAGTCTTATATCTGCAAGGTCCTATCTGTTTTCCTCTCAATCAGAGCTTTATCAAGTGCAGAAAATATAGAAAAAAATTAAATGCAATTTGACATTTTCAGAAACATAGTGTAATTATTTCACTACTATGAAAAAGTCCATCACTAAGTCATTGAATTCAAGTGTATGAAATATGAACTCCAAAACTCTGGTTAAAATCCATATATCCAAGTTTTTTTAAACACACATTTGATTATAGGAGTTCCCAAATGCACACACACAAAAAGATAGAATAGTATAATGAACCTCCAAGGGTTCATCACCTAGTTCAACCACTGTAACATTTTTCCATTAATAAATACTTTGTGAAGCTTGTTAAAATTGTGGTGAAACATGAAAATATCCAAACTATTCAATGGCTTTTGCCCATAATGACGTGACACCATCTTGCTTTTGCAAAGTAATGAATTTTTTGGTTTCCGAAGAAAGTATTAAAACTTGAAGTTTTTCTTGGGTCTCTCTGAGAATTTTCAAAAAGCCAATTTTAGAAAGAGAACCTTTGAGAATTCCACAAATATTTGTAACAAAAAAATAGAGACAAACCAGCCGCTGTTTATTTATAAACAATAAGTGCTTTCATATCATTGTTGAAACTAAAGTACATAATTTTCAGTTATGCATAATAAAATATGTAATTAAGCAACATTCCATGGTGGATTAAAGAATTAAAAGCTTCAGGTGCAGAAAAGAATTTGTTGGCATTTTCTCTTTCAAGGTGGTATTTGGAGGTGTTACTTTTCATTTTCCTTTGACATCTTATACACAAATAAATAGACAGAAACAGGTGAGAAGCAGAGAAACAAAAGAATTGGCTCTACTACAATGGACCTGAAGAACAGAGTGAGGTAGAATATTTGCAACATGCTCACAAAGGCAAAATTAAAAAGGCAGAAATCTTCTTAGCCTGGGGAGAAAAAAGTCTCTAAATAGGGGCATGAGCTTTAAGAAATAGAAAAAAGAACATACAAATTTAACTGCATTTGATGATTCCTCTATTTCAGACTACATACATTAAATTAATTCACACTCCAATCAGTACAATCCAGTAAACTTATTTTTCAAATGAAGAACTATATCTAATTAATAATTCTATCCTAGAAACACTGAAGTTCATAGAGATGTTTGGTATGTATCTTATTTTTTAAAAAGGGTTATACATCAAATAAAATCAAACCACTCAAATGTCAGAATGTGTCAGCATGATTCTGAAAATAAACTACTGAACAGCTAAGAAAAAGTTAATATAGAGGTGAAACTCTGCATCTTGCATCAGAAGAACTTTCTACCTAAAGTTGGCAGTTTTACATGCAATGCTTTAACTACAGTGATAACCGTTTATGAGCAAGTAAATTCAATATCATGTTTGTATTACTATAAGAAATACATACTTGTAATTTAGTAAAAGAGTTAATGATACCAGAGCATTTGGGAGAGGTGTTGGGGGTATGGTATGGAATGAGACCCATATCCCATGGACAGTCCTGTTTGTGGTACACTGTTTTTCATTTAGTTATTTCTTTATTCTCATTGAAGTATAGTTGCTTCACAATATTCTGTTAATTTCTGCCATACAGCAAAGTGATTCAGTTGTACATGTACACATTAATACCTTCTTTTATGTACATATATTCTTTTCCATTGCAGTTTGTTGTAGAATATTGAGTATAGTTCTCTGCGCTACACACTCGGACCTTGCAGTTCATGGATGTTGCACATAAATGCTTTCACCTGCTAACCCCAGCATCCTTCTCCACACCTCCCCAGTCCGTCCGCCGTGGCAACCACCCATCTGTTCTCTGTATCCTGAGTCTGTTTCTTGGTGGTGCATTTTATTTTTTTAAATGTGAATCATTTTATTCTTATAATGACAAGACAGACGACAGTTTTTCATATCACTGTTATACTTGAGCTGGGGATAACAATGCTTCCTCTACTATAAATGCTACTTGAACTTTTTAAAAACATGTTATTTACTGTTCTTGGAATATCTGGGCATGCTTAATGAAATTACCACCCTGGGTCCTGATACTGAAACTGAAGCTCCAATACTTTGGCCACCTGATGCAATGAGCTGACTCTGACCTGATGCTGGGAAAGATTGAGGGCAGGAAGAGAAGGGGACGACAGAGAATGAGATGGCTGGATGGCATCACAGACTCAGTGGACATGAGTTTGAGCAGAGTTGGTGATGGCAGGGAAGCCTGGCGTGCTGCAGTCCATGGGGTCGCAGAGAGTCGGACACGAATTGGTGACTGAATAACAACAATGAAATGAAAAATTAAAAAACATTCCAAATATTTTTACTTAAGCAAAGTATCTAATTTTATACAATTAACACACAATCTTTCACTTTAGTAATAGAAACAATGAAACTATTTCACTTCTTGACATTTAACAGTTATTAACATAAGACTTTAACTCCCCAAGACATACAGTACAAACCAGACTAGATTCTGTCATCATTATGATGGTCTTGGTATCTTATATATTATATTAGCACTTTAAATTAAATCCTATTTACCAAAATAAAAACAGAGTAAGATAATGAACAAGAAGTTCATGAAAAAAAGAATACAAACAGTTGGTGACACATTTTAAATAGATATTTGTGCATAAGCTTTGTTAGCATTTAGCATCTCCTGATCCTGATAAAAATATGGCACTGTTGTATTTACTACTGTGTGTTTTTATACCCCATCTTACTACAAAAAGAATTTTCTGAGACTTTCATGTATACTAAAGTGTTGTTTGCTTGCTAAGTTGTGTCTGATTTTTGGCAACCCCAAGGACTGTCCCCCACCAGGCTCCTCTGTCCATGGGGTTTCCCAGGCAAAAATACTAATGTGGATTGCCTTTCTCTTCTCCTAAGGATCTTCCTGACCCAGGGATCAAACCCATGTCTCCTGCATTACAGGCAGATTGTTTGTCACTGAGGGCTTCCCTGGTGCTTCAGACCAGAATCCTCCTGCAATGTGCATGCAGTGCAGGAAGACCTGGGTTCGATCCCTGGGTGGGGAAGATCCCCTGGAGAAGGGAATGGCAATCCACTTCAGTATTCTTGCCTGGAGAATTCCATGGACAGAGGAGCCTGGCAGGTTACAATCCATGGGGTTGCAGAGTCAGACAGGACTGAGCGACTTTCACTATTTTTCTTTGCCATGAAGCCACCTGGAAGCCCATAATACAGTGACATGGGATAAAAAAAGAGAATAAAGAAAACAATTAATCAAAAATTTGTATTAAAAAGCACAAAAT